GTGAAAATGAGAGGGTCAGACTAGCCGCTGCCAGAGCTGACATGTGAGGAGGATCTGCTGCAGGAGGAGCTTCTTTCAGCTCCAAATCCCAATCTGAGTGCAGTGACTGGGGGGAGCTGTGAGTTTCAAGATCCTAGATGGGAGAGGGGATTTCGGCCCCGGGATCCCATGTCCTTAGAGCTGGTGGCTGCAGTGTGGGCTTACATCTCCCTTTCTCTCTGCGCTCTCGCTGGGAGGGAGAAGGGAAGGCGTGGTACCAGAGAGCCGTCCTGGGCAGGCTGGTAGCAGCCAGCCTTAGCTTCAAGGCCACGTTAAAGTCTCTAACCTTTTCTGGGAGAGTGTCAGCAGTGCCTGTCCTTCACTGTGGGACCAGGCAGTTTCTATCTGCAGTCTGTCCTCTGAACTCGTCAGCAGTTGCAGGTTACGATGGGGCCAATTCCTCCGCACACCCCAGAACATTCCGGACGACTTAAGAGTCCGAAGACCCAAATTCAAATTCCAGCTGAGCTACTTTTTAGCAGGATGCTAAAAGGAACATTCTACTTCGCTGGTCATTAGTCTTACCATCAAAATAGGAGCCGAACGGTTCCTTGAGGGAAAAGGTGAGAGTGACAGGCACCGGGCCAGGCATACTAGCTCTCACCTGCCAGCTGGGCAGCGACAAATCAATCAACAAAACCCACTGCGGGTGAGGCCTCGAGGAGGAAGCACCCTCTTCTTCTAGCCTCCAGAAAAGGATGCCCTTGACACTTGAACTGTAAGTCTAGAACAGTGCACACTGCACAAGCCCGCTTTGTCAAGATAAACGTATGTGTGGATGTGCACATTTCCCTGCAGAGAAATATCTAGAAGATCAAACTTCCAAATTACTCTCAGTATTTAACTCTAGGGGACAGATTAAGAAAAGAAGGGAGTGACAACATTGTAACTTTCTATATTCTTCGGGTGTTTGACCTTCCTTTTCATGTTAAGCATGTAGTTCTTTTATAATAAAGAACTAATAAAACGTTTTTGGATGTTAGAAACCAGCTTTCTTTTTTTCTAAAGTGTAAATACCTATTTGATTTATTTTTTTAACCTATATCCAAAACTGGTAACACAATATTACTCTTTTGTTTGGCTTTTTGCTCCCTCCTTTTTTCTAAATCAAAGTATACTTGATTTATAATGTTGTGGAAGTTTCTGGTGTATAGAACAGTGATTCAGTTGTACATACATATTCTTTTTCATATTCTTTTAAATTATGTATTATTCCAAGATATTGAATATAGTTCCCTGTGCTGTATATACAATAGGACCTTGTGGTTAATCTATTTTATATACAGTAGTTAGTATCTGCAAATCACAAGCTCCTAATTTATCCCTTTCCCCTCTCTCCCTGTTGGTAACCCTAAGTTTGTTTTCTACATCTGTGAGTCTGTTTCTGTTTTGTAAATAGGAGAAACCAGCTTTCTCTTTTCTAATCCAAGCAGAACTCTTGACCTGTAGCTATAGCCTCTCTCATAGGGCAAGAAAATAAGTGAATGAATGAATGAACTAAAGAAGAAATAAAGAAGCCACTACAAACTCCAAGACTTCAGAAAGGTTACCTAATTTTTTCACACCATTGAACATCACTTAGAGCACCTTACAGACGGCTGGGCAGGGATCATTATTTTTAGGCTGGTTTTGAAGACAAAATCACCAAAGCTCAGAGAGGATGAGTGACTTGGCCAGGGCCCTGGTCACATGCTTCAGAAGTGCTCGTTTCAGGCTCTAGGAAGCCAAAGCTCCCTCCCTACCCCCAGCTCGGGGTCCTCCCTGGCCTGCCCGCAGCTCATGGAAGACAGGCTGCCTTCCTGGCTCTTGGGTGCTCACCTTGTCCTTGGCAAAGCACCCACCCCAGTTGCCCAGATCCTGAGCAGACTCTGAGGATGCCGGTGCAGGCAGAAGCCAGGCTGGGCTCAACCGGGGACCAAAAAAAAAAAAAAAGACACTCTCTGGGCTCCAGGAGGCTGGTTTCAACCCTCCTTTTTGGAAACATTCTTTGATTTCAAAACAGGCTGGAGTGTAAAACCAATAAAGTTTCCTGTGACCATAAACAAACAGGCAGCCACTTAACCTCCCTCTTCCTCGCGCCCTCAGCCCACCCCCTGCCACTCGAAGGCGCAGGCAGAGGGCAGGGCTGAGCGCCATTGTCCCGGGTAATTAATTGCGGTAATAAGGAGCTGCACTGAGCTTCAAAGGCCAGCCTGGCCACGGGACCTGGAGCCCTGGCTCCTGTGTGCAGCCAGAAGCCAGCCTGGGCTCCAGGCCTGCCTCTGCACCTGCACTCACCCTCTGAGAACCTACTGTGTGCAAGCATGGTACCCGGCACCTGGCTTTTTCCAATACTGTGAGTTGCGTGTCATTCACTCTATTTTACAGATGGGAAGACTGAGGCTCAGAGGTTATAAGAGTCAGGAAAAGGGCCAATTTGACACGGAATCCAGCCTCTTGTGGGCTCCCAGAATATCTAGAAGGAGAGATGGGACAGGCCATTAAGAAGATGGGGAGAAATGCAGTCTAAGGCAGGAGATGTGGACACAGCACAGTTGGTTTGCGGCAGACGTGGGGGGCATGGTGGTGGGTGGGAGGAGGAATCGGAAAGTTTCTGGAAAAATGCACAGGAAATGTGAGTTTGAAAAAAATAAAACAAATTCATTTCCATCTCATGAACCCCAAAGCCTGAATCTCATGCTTCAGCCCAGTGCCTGGCATTTAGTTAGTGCTCAGCAAAGACACTGATCAACTGACAACAGGCTGTCGACAAGTTCAGTCCTCTGAGCATTGCCCCATCCTGTGCCCCCGGCTGTATCACACTTTTCTTTCCACCTTTCCCCTTGCGCTCTCTTGAGCCTCTGTGATGCCCCAGGCTCACGTGAGCTGCTTTCACTCATTATTTCACTTAATCCTTACAAAACCCCTATGAGAACAGTATTTTTAGCTCCATTTTACAGGTGAGAAAACTGAGGGTCCGAGAGAAGAAAGGCTTTCTTATTCGGGGGTCAGCTGCCCACTTCTCCTCCCCGAACTCCTTCCACCTCCTGATTATCCTCCCAGCCCCCCACTCAACCCTCCACCCCCACCCACCCCCTCCTTGGCCAGGAGCTCACCGCCTAGGTCCTGCCCCACCTCTGAGCTCCCTTCTGTTTTTTCGCTCAGGATTCCAGAGCCCAAGGAGCTGGGCTTGTTTATAGCCCTGCCTGCCCTGTTGCCTTGGTCCCAGCTCAGGTCAACTCTCTGGGGCTAGTAGGGACTTTTGAACGTGCTAAATACAGGTTACAGGGGTCAGGGGTCACAGCCCTTCCTTGGGGGAAGTTTGACTTGAACCATCCATGAAATAGCAACTCTTATCTTGTGGGGAGGAAGGAGAGGCAGATTTCTTAAATTACGATGATTCTTCAGCCACCTCCCCCGGCACCCTCATGCCTCACTCACCCCCTTCCCCCTTTGGCCTCTCTGGGTATTTGGCATCTGGATTTCCCGTTTTCTTCCCTCTAATTCTGTTCTTAAGCCAGAAAAAAAAAAAAAAAAAAGAGGGGTCTGGGGTGACGAGCAGAGCAGAAGCAGAGGGAGGAGTTTAACATTTGTTGGAGGACTGTCCTAGTCTGAGCAGACTGGATTTGAGGGGTATCACCATCCTTTCCCAGGCCGGGTGATGACTCGGTGATGACCCAGTCGGAGTCAGGGCTGAAACTTGGTTAGTCTAAAGCAAAGGGTCAAATCACCAAATGGGAATCGGGCCGGCCCTGGAGGTCCCTCCCCTGGCAGAGGCTCCCCCACCCAGCAGGCTCCGGCCCCAAGCTCCACTTCCACCCACCTGGCACAAGCATGGATGCCCCAGACGCCAGGTACCGCCTCGCAAGCACAGAGCCCTGTGCGCTGCTCCAAGTCCCTTCCCAGTCCCTCTTCTCTTCCTGCCCAGCCCTTTAGCAAAGCTGGGATGAGACTGAGATGATCCTATCTGATGGTGGCTTGTCCTCAAGGCCAAAGAGGCTTGTCCCTGTACCCCAAGGAGTAGGGTGACCGGCCTAGGACTGGTTTTCTGGGATGTGGGACTCTCAGTGCTAAAACCAGGACAGCTCACCACCCCACCAGAGAGGGAAGGTCCAAGGCAGAGGCCGGGCTCCTACCTCCCAGGCATCTGCATTTTCCTTCCACCTGCTACTTGCCTAAGCCCCTTCCCTTCCCCTGTCCATCCCTTTCTCCAGGGAAAAACCACCAGGGAGGCTGACTGCAAACACCGTTCCTGGCATTGCTGGAGGGAAGCTGTTCAGAAGGTGAAGATAAATAGTCTGAGTTC